ATGATGTCAATCACTGGATTGTCTGGTCCAGACTCGATTATCTACAGACAGCTGTCACGGATGGAATATTGCTGAGTGCGGCGTTAAACAACAAACAAATTTAATAGCAAAGATATAAAAACATTGAAGAAATATGTTTGTTTTGCAATAGAGTCGGGGCCAGCTCATGAAATCTGAAACTCTAGTTGAAAACTTCTAAAATCTTAGTTTTTGACACATTTTAGTCTTACATCTACTTTTGATGTTACCAAAACATGCAAGTATTAAAAAGAATGAAAACATATTTCTCATTCATATGAACACGTCTACGATTTTTGAAAGATAAGCCCATTCCTAAATTAACCAGATCTAGAAAGGCCTTATCATACCTTGTCCTTTGGTTAGGTCCATGTCTCGCATCCCCTCAGTGATTGAATACTGTGCCTTATCAAGCCCCGCATCGAGTCTTCATGTATCCTGTTGCATTCTTTCCGTGAGACAGTGTATCTTCCACCCCTCATCAGAAACATTTTCGCGTAATCTCAAATGTTTCTTAGCAAGGTATTTTGTTCAGACGAAGATAGTTTTCACAGGCAATGTGTATTCTGACACGACAAAGATAATAGCATGAGATAAGAAACAATGGCTGGAAGGATTAAATTACTAATCCAACCTGTTCAGATTTAGAAAAGTGCAAAATAAAGATTACAAAATAACTTACCTGTTGCCAAGCAGTTTTATTTCATTTTAGCTCACCTGACTGAAATTCATGTATTTATGTTCTGGCTTGTTAGCCCAGCGTCTAACATCAGTCGCGCAGTGCTTGATGTTAGTCGTCATGCGCCGTTGGTCGGACTGGACCATTGAAGCTGAAACTTCACAAGCTCGTTCCCACCAAAGATGACACCTAAATCTGTTCAAGAGGTCCAGATTCAAAATTCAATATGGCCACAATGGCAGCCATATTGAAAAACCTATTTACGGGAATTATTCAGTCATGTTTCTTCAGAATGTAAAGAAATTAGGTGTGTGTTGAGTTAGTTGTGGGACTCAACACAAACTGTTCTGTTTTTCAGGATAATCTACAGTTTGACCTTGTTTTAACCTTTGCATTTGGACCATGATCTTAAATATTGTCACAATGCAGATCTGAAACTGCCAGAAGTAGGAAGATGAATTATGATTGCATGATATTTTGTTCAAATCATTCGACTTTCGGGTTAGTTTTTAGTCCTCAGTAATTATGCCAAAAATATTTGAACATCAATGCTGACGGCAACTTTTGTCCTACATATTCAGGTGAGCTACAGTTTCATGAAAGTATTTCCTCCATTTCTGTTTGATATGCACTGACTGTTCCACACCCTTGCAAGAAAATGTTTGTAATTCAGTGGTCAAACTCAGGGTTTAGACGTTGAGCACCAGACAGAGCCACTGAAATCCTGATTTAATTTGCTGGCTTGAGTCATCAAAGAGATGGAAATTCACATACGAGCTTACCGGATTATCTTTGGTCCAGTTAGAACTAACTCTATCACCATCACAGCATGGGGCAGGCTCTTTAACAAGGCAGTAAGAAGGGGTGCAGTTGTAGCACCCAGGTAATTGAACTCGCCACTCGTGCCCAAGGGAACACTGGAGATGTTCTCGGTTTGTTTGGCTTCATGTCGGATACTCTAATTCATTGATTTCGCATCAGGAATTTGATTCATTGGTGGCTGATGGCAGTTCTATGTTTAGGAGCAGTAGAAAGTAATGTGAGCTTCAGACGTAAATACTGTGGCATCTTCATTTTGATTTTCTCCACAGCTTCTTTGATTGCTTTATATCTTGGTGTGGAAACACTTCTTCATGGAACCTGGCGAGATTAGATTCTGTAATAGGGGATGGTTGACGTGGATTTACCTGGTTGTTAGAGATGGAAACTGGGTAGCTGGGCCAGGAACTGTTTTTAAATATTTCTCATCTGTTTGTTTTATTCAGAATCACATGTTTTATTCTGTTCAGAATGACATGGTGTTTTATTTTGTTCAGAATGATGTATTTTATTTTGTTGGACCAACTAGGTGTGTTATGTTGAGAATAACTTGTTTTATTTGTTCAGAATGATGTGGTGATTTATTTTGTTCAGAGTGATGTGTTTTATTTTGTTCGGACCGATTAGGTGTGTAATTATGTTTTATTTTGTTCAGAATGTTTGTTTTTTATTTTGTTCACAATGAAGTGTTTTATTTGATTCAAAATGACATGTTTCATTTTGTTCACAATAAAGTGTTTTTTTGGTTCAGAATGATGTGATTTATTTGTTCAGAATGACTAGCTATATAGCTGTTTTATTTTGAAGTCAGAAAACACATCAGCACAGTGATATGGTTTACTGCTCTTAAAAATTGTTTGTTGTTTGATGCATCACTGAGCAATATTCCAGCTATATGACGACGGTCTGTAAATAATCAAGTCTGGACCAGACAATCCAGTGATGGACATCATGAGCATCGATCCACACAACTGGGATACGATGACATACATCAACCAAGTCAGCGAGCCTGACTATCCAGCCTCATCAGCCACCTCTTACGACCAGCATGAGTTGTTGAAGACCAATTGTTATACCAGGATCTGCACGGGAATTACAATTTTGGTATTCATCAACTTGATATTCAAACCAGATTGTTTGGTATATGATGATAGTACAGGAAGCTAAACACAACCTATATAATGCTGGTGGAAAGAGCGACTTAATGGATCGGCTCAGTGCCTGGGTTGATTGCGTATCACTGTACCCTGGCGAATGGATCTATGCTCATAATATCAATCACTGGATTGTCTGGTCCAGACTCAATTATTTACAGGCCATGGTCATATAGCTAGAATATTGCTGAGTGTGGTGTTGAACGACAAACAACAGGCATCGCCAGGGCTGGTGACAGAGTGAATGTTGTTATGTATCATAGTCAGCACTGTAACCATGGTAACAGCTCAGTCAGGGCAGTCTGTTAGTAGCCAAGGCTGAACTTGACAAACCAGGTCACACAATGCAACCACCCAATCCCCGCTGCTTGGGACATCTGCTGTTCTTGAATCCCATAATTTAAGGTTTTATGATTTGAGTGACGGCTAGAACTGTCTTGTCCATGGTAGAATTTTGAGGGTATGTCCAAGTTGAACTTGTGTCATGTCAAAGTAAGGGCATAAGAATGTTAATCATATGATAGAAAAGTTTTGTCATGGTGGTAAGCCAATCCTATACAGGTTACATACAACCAAATGTTTTCCCATAGACTTCTATAGTAACGGTATATTTTTTAAAAACATAATTAAGCATTCAAATGCTATTACCTGTACGTGTGTGCACAGTTTGGCCTTAGAGCAGCAATAAAAAAAATTTAAAAAATGACTAGCAAAGCCGGCTCCTTTTCCAATTACAGGAAGCTAAACACACCACCCCCAGTGCCGCACCAAATGTCACCTACTTGAAATTATCTGTGGTCACATTCAGCATAAGTCATCATGTTGAAAAAGACAGTACTAAATAAAGAAAAACATGGTCAGTTTTGATAACTGGATGGATGTACATTTAAGAGACATAAAAATCATAAACAATATCATCCAATCACAGCCTGCAGATATCTCTAGATCTTCACTGAAGGCTCCCTACGAACACCAGTTCTGATTTGGTGTAGTAGAACCTAAGCTTGGTATCAAGATGTGGTAAATATGCAAATGAGGTCGACATGTTGGAACTACTTTTATTGAACATTGATGTCCTGTGTACATGCTCAATTATTGAAGCTTATGCCTAACTTTCCTATACAGTTCAGTTTGGTGTCATCATGTTTGTGTGTCTCTGTTAAACAAACATGGTTGCAAATACTTTGGAACTATATCATAAAAGGGGTGGTTCACTCTTGCATTCATGCCTGATTCCTGGTTGTTTCGACCCGTGAAGATCCGAGTTAGAAAAGGTCTTCAGCAACCCATGCTTGCCGTGAGAGGCGACTAACAAGATTGAATGGTCAGGCTTGCTTGGTCGATGCATGTCATCGATCCCAATTGCGTAGATCGATGCTCATGATGTCAATCACTGTATTGTCTGGTCCAGACTCGATTATTTACAGACCGCCGTCATAAAGCTGGAATATTGCTGAGTGCGGCGTTAAACAACAAACAAACAAACAAACAAGCAAACAAATTTTATTATATGATGTTTATGAACATAAACATTCTTGGCTAATCTATAAAATATATACGAAAATGTACATCTTTGTAGATAACGTCTGGTTTATTGCACAGGCAATGTTTAGATGTAGATTCTTACATCGTAATCAAGCTTAAAGAAGTAAGAATCTCCATGGAAACATTGCCAGTGCAATAAACCAGAAGTTGTCATCTTTAAAGTTTCACGTTTTCTTATTTACTCACCATCTTCTAGAATGCTAACCAAACTATCTATAATGTATACTTTGAAAATATATTTGGAAGGTTTGAAATTTATGCTGATATTGGAGTAAGTCTGCAATAAACTCTTAAACATCCAGACAGACTTGGTTTCTTGCCTTAAGAGAAACATCAGAGAAGGTCACCTTGACCCAGTGCTGGAGTACAGTGAGGGTATAATACCGCTTTTAACAGTATTCCAGTTATATCACGGCGTGTCAGCTTAATGTGGGAGGAAAGCCCAAAGTGATGCAGGTCTCAGACGTTTACCACTTCGGTGAAACCCACCAGCATGGGTATTGTGCTGACAAACCTAGAAACATAATCGGGGCTTACCAGGATTCGAACCCAAAATCAAAGGTTTCTGGCGTGCCCAAGGGATGCAACTCTGCACAGCTAATCGCGGCGCCTTAGACGACTGGGCCACCAGTGCCCCCCCTGGAGTACAGAATGACTAACATATTCCTTAAAAATGTCTTTGTTGTCAGCGAAAGTGCCGACGTGGTAAATTTTTATTATATTTTCTCATTAGGATTGTTTATATTTGTTTTTGAACAAACAATTTTGTTTTTTGTTTTTTTCAGGTTGAAAGGGAGATTGCCATCATGAAGTTAATAGAACACCCGCATGTACTTGGATTATACGATGTTTATGAGAACAAAAAATACCTGTAAGTATTTTATCATTCTGTGTTTATGTGCATGTTTTTCTATCTCGGCTCCCATTGAATGCAGTGCTAATATCTGCGTACAATGAATGTGGTGAATCTTTTCCCAGATTTGTTCCAGGTGTTTAAGCGTTCCTGAAGATCTTCAACATTTGATGGGCATTAAGTTTTCAGATGATCTAGGAGTTAGTGATTTTTCTTCTTAAAAGATCAATTAATGCATTTGGAGTAGGCGGGTGTAGGATTTTATCTGAGAAAATATATTCTCCCTGAACAATTTTCAAAAACAAAATTATGCTTCATATTGTTGGAAGGAAATTGTCTGCCACAAAAAATGTGTTGTTGCAATGTTGTTGTTTTTCAGAAACAAATATTTTGGCTCAAAGATTTAATAAAAGTAATATCTCTCAGTGGAAATCAGGCGTGGATGTGAGGGGAGGGGTGCAGGCTTGGATGTGAGGGGAGGGGTGCGGTGCAGGCGTGGATGTGAGGGGAGGGGAGGCGAGGGGTGCGGTGCAGGCGTGGATGTGAGGGGAGGGGTGCAGGCATGGATGTGATTGGAGGGGTGCAGTCATGGATGTGATTGGAGGGGTGCAGGGGTGATGTGAGGGGAGGGGTGCAGGCATGGATGTGAGGGGAGGGGTGCAGGCATGGATGTGAGGGGAGGGGTGCAGGCATGGATGTGAGGGGAGGGGTGCAGGCGTGATGTGAGGGGAGGGGTGCAGGCATGGATGTGAGTGGAGGGGTGCAGGTGTGGATGTGAGGGGAGGGGTGCAGGCGTGGATGTGAGGGGAGGGGTGCAGGCGTGGATGTGAGGGGAGGGGTGCAGGCATGGATGTGAGGGGAGGGGTGCAGGCGTGGATGTGAGGGGAGGGGTGCAGGCGTGATGTGAGGGGAGGGATGCAGGCATGGATGTGAGGGGAGGGGTGCAGGCATGGATGTGAGGGGAGGGGTGCAGGCATGGATTTAAGGGGAGGGGTGCAGGCGTGGATGTGAGGGGAGGGTTGCAGGCGTGGATGTGATTTGAGGGGTGCAGACGTGATGTGAGGGGAGGGGTGCAGGCATGGATGTGAGGGGAGGGGTGCAGGCATGGATTTAAGGGGAGGGGTGCAGGCGTGGATGTGAGGGGAGGGATGCAGGCGTGGATGTGATTTGAGGGGTGCAGGCGTGATGTGAGGGGAGGGGTGCAGGCATGGATGTGAGGGGAGGGGTGCAGGCGCGATGTGAGGGGAGGGGTGCAGGCGTGGATGTGAGGGGAGGGGTGCAGGCGTGGATGTGAGGGGAGGGGTGCAGGCATGATGTGAGGGGAGGGGAGCAGGCGTGGATGTGAGGGGAGGGGTGCAGGCGTGGATGTGAGGGGAGGGGTGCAGGCATGGATGTGAGGGGAGGGGTGCAGGCGTGGATGTGAGGGGAGGGGTGCAGGCGTGATGTGAGGGGAGGGATGCAGGCGTGGATGTGAGGGGAGGGGTGCAGGCATGGATGTGAGGGGAGGGGTGCAGGCATGGATTTAAGAGGAGGGGTGCAGGCGTGGATGTGAGGGGAGGGGTGCAGGTGTGGATGTGATTTGAGGGGTGCAGGCGTGATGTGAGGGGAGGGGTGCAGGCGTGATGTGAGGGGAGGGGTGCAGGCGTGATGTGAGGGGAGGGGTGCAGGCGTGGATGTGAGGGGAGGGGTGCAGGCATGGATGTGAGGGAAGGGGTGCAGGCATGGATGTGAGGGGTGCGGTGCAGGCGTGGATGTGAGGGGAGGGGTTGAGGCGTGGATGTGAGGGGAGGGGTGCAGGCGTGGATGTGAGGGGAGGGGTGCAGGCATGGATGTGAGGGGAGGGGTGCAGGCGTGGATGTGAGGGGAGGCGTGCAGGCGTGATGTGAGGGGAGGGATGCAGGCATGGATTTAAGGGGAGGGGTGCAGGCGTGGATGTGAGGGGAGGGGTGCAGGGGTAGATGTGAGGGGAGGGGTGCAGTCGTGGATGTGAGGGGAGCGGTGCAGGCGTGGATGTGAAGGCAGGGGTGCAGGCGGGTGTCACAATCAGCCCGGTCAGCTGCCTGTATGGATAAGTAGACCAACAATGCCACCATCGCCGCCAAGATTGAGTATCGATTGCAGTTCCGTTGAAGTTTGAACTCAGTGAATATACCTTTAGGAGTCCAAGTGTCAGTGAATAACTGGAGCAGAAGCCTGTGGTCTGCCTCTGGTCTGCCTCTGGTCCTGAGGGTAGGCTGTTGGTGCTGGGCTACATTTATATGTGTGGTTGCATTGACGTGGATTTCAGAAATTTTGGTTGTTAGTTTTCAGTAATGTTGATGTCTCTTTTGAAGTAGTTCCACCTGAAAAATGGTAGCATGGGTATGATTCTTGACTTAAAAAATTACATTTTTGGAATAGCATTTTTAAATTTTAGCCTAACCTTTCTCAACAATGAAACAAAGATTGAGTAAAAAAAATGGGTAGGAATATGACATGTATGTATAATTGTGTACATTCAAACAAAGACTTATCATGGCCAGTTTAGAAGAACATTCCCTTAAAAGTTTATGTTTTGAAGTTCTGCCTGAAAATATATTATATTATATCAACAAAAATTCCTCCCATCCCCTTAGAATATTAAATATAGAATCTCACCCGAGTGTCTTTTGATATCAAATATATCAACACGAGTTGATAAAAGTGGAAAAATTCCGAGGCTTGCCAAGGATTTTTGCCACTTTTATCAACGAGTGTTGATATATTTTATATAAAAAGACACTCGGGTGAGATTTTATTTATCATCCAACATCATTCTTCCAACTTTTTCAATTTATAGACAGTAATTAGCAGTGTCTTCAGTGTAAAAAGTACTGCTAACAGCTTCAGTAGCAGAGCCATTAGTGATGTCATTTGATTGTGATGTCATGGTAACCAGTGACGTCACAGTGGCCTGCAAAGCATTGTGATGTAATTTCATTACAGTGATATCTACAGTGTAGATATCGCTTGATCTAATCCAAGCAATATCTCCTGTGTGAGCCAGTTTTGGATGATAAATAGATCTCCCAAAGATGTCACTGGCCTTGAGAAAGACTCCATTGCCTCATTTGCCTGACTGAAACAATTGTGTTCTTTTTTCCCTCAAGTTGGTCTCTTGACAGTGTAGGTTGTATTATTCAAAAGACAGCAACACCATTACTGTTTAGAGTGATGGACGAGTCGGGATGGCTGCCCTCGTAGATGCATGGCCAACTAAGTTTAATAGATGGCTGAACAATTTTCCAATTAGCTGATTGGTTTATCGGTTAACCTTCTTGGCCTGTTATACAACGGGGTTTATCATGTACATGACCAGATTTGGTTTTCCTGGAGGTCGATTGGTCTCCTGGAGGTGATGTAAAGATGGCGTGGTGTTCTTGGTTGGATATCTTAGTAGATTTCAGGAAATGATGATCTGAGATAACTCAAGGAAGAGAATATATGGATGTCAACATTCACCTGATGAATATACTCCGAAATGTTGTGTTCCTCATAATAAAGAAGTTGACATCCATAAATTCTCATTCTAAATGCCTTTCAAAGACCTGAGATAACGTGTCTGTCACATCTTTGCTATAAGAATTCTTCAAAGTGCCATATGTCAATATGTGTTTCTGCAGAGTTGTGTCCCTTAGGCATACCAGAATCCTGTGATCATGAGCTGAATCTCAGATTCACCCTGATTATGTTTCTAGGCTTGCACATACCATGTGCCTGGGTTTCACCAAAGTGTCAGACTTATAAAACCTGCATTTTATTTGGGCTAGTTATCTTTCCTTTACATTCCCAGTTCAACCAAACAATTCTCAATGCATTCCACTTAGTACATGCAAACAATCTTTAATGTATTCGCTGCACGATTCTCTATAAGCGCACGATTCTCTATAAGCGCACATACACACACCCAAATGATTCCCAGAAACGGACGACGTCTTTACTAGAGCATAAACAACAGGTTTTTTCCCCTTCCCATTACTTAAAAGGTGTTCTGTTGCAGGGCACACAAGCAATGTTGTAAGATAGATGTTTGTAGGAGTCGGGTGGCACTTCATCCTATCGAAGGTTTCACCTCCACAGGAATACCGCATCTGCTAATTAGGAGCAAGAGTCGGAGATCATCTAGGCTTGCAATTGATTGGAAAATCGTGTACAGAATTAGCTAGTAATTGGTTGTTGTGAGAGTAGTATATCAATCACAGGGTTTCGCATCACGGCCAATTATTTGCCTGTGTCATTCTTCAACGCTGGAGGTTGGTGAAGAATTTGCCATTTAATGGAATCTGAGGTGGCGAGTATTAGCTGGTGTTAATGAGGTTAATGGCTGTGGAATGAGCAGGGTTATAGATCATTTCATACAATATTGTATTGCTTAGTGCTAATTATCTGATGATTTGATGGATGCGGTGATTTATAAGTCCACATAAGACCACAAAATGATCATGATATTTGGTCATGTTAACAAATGTCTTATAGTGGAGGGGAAAGGGTGGCCCAGCCGTTAAAAAACACTGTGATTCATTACACGCAGTTGTCGGAAGCTTGGTTTTACCTGATGCTAATGGTTTTCACCAAAGTGATAAATGTGTTAAACCAAGTTTTATATCAGTCTGTCACTCACTCACTCACTCACTCACTCACTCACCCACTCACTCACTCACTCAGTCTCTCACTCACTCACATATTTGTTTATAGTCTAATAAAGACGTGTTGACAGATAAATGATTGTTCCATGACCTTGACCCTGACCCTTGTGGACTTCCAGGGTATCAGATCGGTTCGTTTTCTAAGACAATGACTCAGACTGTCAACCAGAACATACTAAAGATGTTTTTCAAATATTGGCACTTGTATTGAAAAGTCTATTTTCAAAACTGATGAAACCTGGAAAATGTCCTTATGCCAAGTGTCTGTCGTGAAATCAATTAATCAATATTATTTATTCTCAGCCCATAATTCTCAGTTCAAGCAGTTTTTGTGATAAATACTCATACATGATC